CGATTGGAAAGCGCGAGCGTAGCGCCGCCTGGTGGCTACTACGGGAACTAGGCCGAGTTCCAGACACTGGTGTCGCTGGAAGCTGAGCATGCACTGGAAAATGGTCGCTGGATTATGGATTTTGGACGGTTGTGATCGATGAACTTTATGGAAAGTAGGTACTATCCAGTAGGTATCCATTTAACCAAGAATGAGTTTTTATCCAAAACTGAGACACAAAGCTAAAAATGTGGGATATGAGCAAAATTGAAAGGGACGAAGCAGCAGGCGTGCATAAAAATGACCTCAAATGCACACAAAGTTATGACATGTTACAGAGTGTTTACAACGGCACACATTAGGCAAACATGTGTCACATGACTTTAATACCAAATATCAAGTTAAGTGTAAAGAGACCTTGTCTAACCTGACCTGGACCTATAGTAGCTGCATAAATAGTAGCTTGGTGTTTGGGAAATGCATCGTTCATTCTTATTTCTTACGCACGTCCTTTGTCCAACATGCGCTGGATATTGACAAACGTCAATCAATAAAACGAAAGTGCATCAGGAGCATTTATGTTAGTCTTTCTAACGACGCACCGCCGAGCACGCTTAATTAGCTTCGGAGATCATTTGAAAGAAGAAGACTAAAACACCCATTCCCTTCCGTCAATTACGGTCATCTGAGTGCTCCTGGCAATAAATTCAAGCGTTACCCTGTCAGGAGCCATGTGTTAGTAACATCATGCATCATAGATCATCGTGTTTTGAACACAATTGCATAATAAACTACATATTCAATTGAGATAAAAAGCGACTGATCTCTTATCTCTTATGCCAGGCATTGGTGTGTCATAAACGGGAGCCGTCTAATGACATCGCCATTGGACCAGTGTCAAACAGGTGACACATGCCTTGCTAGCATGACTGTCGATGATGATTCACAATCGCCACAGTCCTTGGGCTGTCAGAAATTGTTAATAGCGTCATATAGAGCTGCAAAGGCGGACGGAGCCATGCGGTATCCGCCGCCGCTTTGGTTCCGGCTGTTTTCCGGCTGTTTACTGGTTATTTCCGGTTGTTTCCGGTTACATTTTGTCTTCTTTGATGGGTTTACGACATTATTGTGCCAGTCAGCTCCAGCCTTTTGTGTCAAATTGTGTCAGCATAAAGCTAAATCATGGGCTACAGCATCGAGTTTTCCGATTGTAATATCGAGTTACCGACGGCTGCGTCGGCTTTGTCCCCTAGGACGGATCACGCAGCGTGCGGGCCGGCCACCGAGGTCACGTGGTGTCGCGCCCGGGGCTATGCCTGACAGGGTCCGGGGGGGGGGGGGGGGGTAACCCGTGTGACCGGGCGCCCCGGCGATTGGCTGCTCGTGCACCGTGGATGCATCCCAATCCGTCGGCAACACTATACTTATGTCATCCAGACTGTATGTAGAAAACTTAGGACATGAATGAATTGTCCTCAGGAAGAGAAGTGAGAAGCACCTGGGGCATTCCACGATAGATCGTACCAGGCCCGTCACCCTCATCTCTCAGATTTTAATGAAAATTCGTCCTAGGGGTAATCATAGGCCCCAAAGACGCCTAGCAAAATATCAGACTTCTCAGAACAAAACTTTTTGAGTTATATTGCATTACATTTTTTTAATTTCGGTTTGTAACGGTGAGTTTGATGGCCCATAACTCAAGAACGGGTTAAGCTACCAACAAACAGTAAACAACACTAAGCTTGCGATGAATCAAAAATTAATACTACCATTTAAAAATTCCAAAGAAAAATTTTCATTGTTGAGCAAAAACCTTAATCTTTTTTCATTTGCCTCTAATGACCTTTGGGACCAAAATTTTTCAAATTTTTATTTTTTCAAAATAAACTTCATGTCATTGCAAATCGACATGCAAAAAATTAGAAAGGTGTTCTTTCTATAAAATCCTCATTTTCCCGCAAACAAAATGGGTTTCGGAGGGGTTGATACGACCCCAGCACGCCATTTCGCTTCTAACAGCTAGAGCCTCGCGGAAAAAACGAGCGTGTGTGCCGCAACAAGTCGCAACGATTGGTACCCGATTTTAAGGTCTCAATTTAACCGGTAGCGTCTGAGGTCAGGTCAAGTGACTGAAGTTACGGGTTCGGTTTTTAGTAAATAACTTCGCAAAAAATGACCGCAGAGCCACGATTTTGGCATCATTGTGTTCGCCTAGCTCAGGTGCATCGAATGGTATACTTTTTGCTAGGGTGAGGTCAACTTAAGTAGTTGACCTCGGATCAAGGTCAGGTCAGAGCGCCTCAGGTCACGAAGCTGGGCAAAGGGTATCATATGGCATATCATTTGATTCGGAAGGTCTTCCCGAGTCCATTGGTGGCTTTCCCGACTCTCTAGCTCCATTTGATCGGGGGTTATTGACGAAAAACTCGTGCGACCCTAGTGACGTCATAAATGACGTCACGCAAGGTTACCAATGCAAAACAAAAGCATTGGACTTTGCAAGAAGTGCATGAACTCACGATACCATGTACGTGTGGGATAGTTTTAGATCATTCTCGGCGCCAAAATAACAGTTTTTATATTTCCCCATTGACTTATAACAGTGATGTCACGTGACCGACCTGACTCACGTTACCCTAAAAATTCCCAGATATACAAGTTGTGAGACCTCTGGAGGACACCATGTATGCGTCCTGTAACTTTCATCTCGGACAGATATGGTCGTTGGCGTCCAAAACAATGTCAGAACCAAACAGCCTTTTTCACCCTCGCGCTTATAGGAAAGAGGGTTGGATGAACCCTCTTTTCACTTTTTTCAGATGACTCAGACTTCAATTGAAATTTCAGTAACCCGTGATGTCACTAGGCAGCTTTACCACGCCATTTGTAAGCTCCCCTCCCGAAATCACTATTCGAAACCGTTATCGTGACGTAAAATAAATACATTTATAGAAAGAACACCTTCCTAATTTTTTGCATATTTGTTAACAATGAGCTAAACATTTTTTTTAGAAAAATAAAAATTCAAAAAAATTTGGTCCCAAAGTCGAAAAAATACAAATTAAAGAAAACTCGATATGTCATACATCAAAAATAACGTATTTTTCGAAATTTCAAAAATACATATTAATCTCTGTTTCATTGCAAGTTCAATGTTATATAACATTTGGCATTTGAATAATCCGTCTTAGAGTTACAGCCCGCCAAACTTAGCGCTGCAAAGCAGGATCCAAAAAATGTTATACACCATAACTCAAAAAATACTTATCTGATAAGCCTGAAATTGTTACAGGTGGATTCAGAGTCCCTGATTACCCCTGAGACCAATTCTCGTCAAATTCCGAGAGATGAGGGTGTCAAATTGGAAAAAAGTGGTACGATCTATCGTGGAATGCCCCACCTACAAAAGTGCATGTTTGGAAACGTGATTACAATGTTTTTCCATAGGTAGGTACACATCACAACCCCCTTACCACCAGCCTGAATCGAGCCTTACCAACAGTATTTGCCAGCTCAAATGAAGCAGAAAAATAGGTTTTCGGTGTTTGATGGCCATTGGCCACATATAGTGTGCCAATTTTTGTTCAATAAATCAGTACGATCCTAGATCGGTTACTCGTTTCATCCTAGTCAAGCGCAGAGCTACCGACACGAGCCCACATCGGGAGTCTCCCCCTCCCTTGGAGTTGTGTGGTGCCGACGGTGGCGGATGGTAGTCTCTGCCTTGACAATCCTTACATTCCCTCTCACAACGAGAGGAGAACTACTAGCGGTATGCACTGCTAGCAGTTCAAGTGGTGACCGGCTACTTTCAGCCGTGCCACAATGCATTACAATCCAAGGAAACGGCATGAATCCGGCGAATGCTGAACTGAAGAGAAATTTTAAAAGCAGCCAACCGTTTTCCTTTATGTCAAAGGAATGCAAAAAAAATAAACATAGAAAAGGATGTCTATATCCTCCCAGCATTCTACCCTAAGGCCATGACACTTTGCCTTCCTCAAGACACACAGCAGCCAACATTAGCATTCAACGCTAATCACATTACCTTTCCATCAGCATTCATCACATCAGCTCAACCACGTGGACCAGCCGTGTCAAACCGAATCGCGTCAAATCGTCAGCAACATAACCCCTAAATTATCCTTCCCTTCCTAGCCGCCCCGCGGGCCGGACTCCCGGCCGGATGGGCCCCTACTCACTGGTCAATTACCGGTCAGAACCGACCGGAAGTCGCCAGTTCCGGTTTATAGCCGGCCTGCGTACTGCCGGCCGCTAACCGCCCATGTCATGCGTTTCGTTGTGTAAAAAGGTCAAAACAGGCGGGAGTGGAGTACCATAAAGATATCGAAACGCGTTGTCATGGTGGTTTGTGAAGGCATGATTAGAAACAACTGGCCTTGTAGCTGATGTCAATCGTTGTTTTGGCTAACATATAATCATTGCCCTCACACATTGAAGCTACGTTTTATCCATTTCTGTGATAATCAATAGAGAGCTAATTTGGCCACACCTGAAAAATACATGTTACCTGCTTTGCATTTGATGCATTGATATGCAAAAAAAAAAATCCCTGGTCTTGTGACTTGTGCTGGCGGAAAAGCTGCTGAATTCGTGTAGCCATTTCGCCTAGGGCTGATAATCCCGGGATCGGGATCCCGGGATCCCGGGATTGTATTAATCCCGAATCCCGGGATTAGAAGCATCGGGATTTCGGGATCCCGATATTTTCCGTACAGAAACATCGTTCATAAAGTGTAGCTGATAGTAGGTATGTAAAAAAGGTAAGTGAGTAACAACGCATTACAGTGCAGTTTTATGTCCAAAGATCTTACTTACGCCGTGCAAAGTCGTTATGCACAAGTATTGGTTACATAACTATATACCTAATTGACATTGTTTCACACCGTCTCAGCCTTCACAATGTGGCGAGAGACGAGCTCTCTCTCGGCTCATCTCTCGCTCCCCGCGACGTCCCTCGCGTACTCGGTTTAACAGATCATTTTGCACGATGACATACCATGCCGACTATCGAATTCGAGTCCATCGAGTGGGAGGAGGTCGGCCGTCTTCTCTGTGTGACTGTGGGAGCACGTCTGGTGGCTCAGTTACTGTCAGTGCCCCGTGGCTGGACGATCCATGAGGCTGGCCGGGCGCCCTGGGCATGGTTACCGTCAGTGAATAATTATTAATTACGTGCCTTTGTGATAAGCTATAGCTAACTTTGCCAAAATGTCGGATTTTGCTGAATTTAAAGGCAGTGCGGTGTGGGAACATTATCTAAGAAGTCAAGATGGCCACACAGCAAAGTGTCGTCTTTGTAAAAAGGTACTGAAAATATCTGGAGGTTCCACCAAAGGACTTCACGTCCACCTCAGGAGCAAGCATGGTGGTATGAGTGTTGCTGGACCATCCCGATCCGGAGAGACGCCGCAAAACGTGTCCGGCGAAGGTCAAGGTGAGAGCGCTAAAACCACGGCACCGCATCTAAAAGGAATGAAGACCTTAGATTGCTACTATGTTTCCAAAACGGACGACGACCTGGATGCTATCCTAGCTAGAATGTGCGCGAGAGATGGGATACCTTTTACAGTTTTCTGTACCTCACCGGACCTACGCGGACTTTTGGCTGCTAAAGGATATAAAAACCTTCCAACCCATCACAACACGATCCGCCGGCGTGTCCTCAAACACTGTGCTCGCCTGAAGTGTGACGTGAAGGCGAAACTGGCCGAAGAATTGTCAAATGGCAAACGGTTCTCACTTACGATCGACGAGTATACGTCCCTGAAAAACCGTCGCTATATGAGCGTGACTGTCCACTGCGAAGGTAACATGTGGGGTCTCGGTGTCGCGCGTTGTCACGGATCGATGCCAGCAGAGAAATGTCTGGATCTTCTGCAGGGCAAGCTGGCAGAATTTGGCCTTGAACTCAGTAAGCACGTCACCTGCGTCACAACCGACGGAGCTTCGGTGATGGTGAAATTCGGGAAGTCACTGCCATGTGAGCACCAACTCTGCTTCGCACACGGTGTTCACCTCGCCGTTGTCGACGCTCTGTACTCGGGTGACGCCGGGCAGACCTCTGAACAAGCAGATGACGACCGTGGTGGTGGTGGACCTAACCAGGTGAGCTTAGTATACAATTATGCATACATCTGATATAGGCACCTAGCGTGAAAATAGAATAACAGTGACGAAATGGTAGAAAATTGTGCACCAAAGTTCGTATCATTTACTGTGCGATTTCACTTCATAAGAGTCAAAGAACAAACAACATTTCACCCAGAGAACAAGGCTTAAGAGCATCGAGCTCAGTTTCATCCGCATCGCGCAATTACTCTCCTTAAAGCATAAAGAGTCGTAAATCTTCATCTACAAATAATCCGAGGAGCCAACACAGCAGGATGACCCCTTAATATATGTACATCTTATATAGATTAATAAGGTAAGGATATTGTCGCCTTGCAGGTGAACTCGTCAGATGAATCCGACGGTGATGACGAGGATGAGGACGACAACGTGGAAGAAAACACTACACTGAAAACAATTTAACCCAAGGCTCGCGAGTAAACCGGTGTTTTGCAGGTACCCCTATCCGCAACCATTTTTAACCACCCTCCCAGGAGTACAGTAAGGTCCCATTGCAGTGTAGTTGTCCCTGCTCTCAGCGGACTTGTCCGCTGACAGCGGTTATATCCGCTCAGAGCAAGTACGACTACACCGCAATGGGACCTAGCACTACTCCTGGGAGGGTGGTTAAAAATGGTTGCGGATAGGGGTACCCGTAAAACACCGGTTTACTCGCCAGCCTTGGGTTAAATTGTTTTCAGTGTACTGGTGCTACTGGTCACCACGAACTACATAGTTCGCTCTCTCCAGTCGTTAAAAGCATTAGAAACATTGTCCGCTGGTTTAGAAAATCGCTCGTACGAAATGAAGTCCTTCAGAAATACGTCAGAGAGGAGCGTGGGCAGGAACTGATGCTAGTGCTAGACTGTAAAACCCGATGGAATAGTTTGTATGACATGCTAGAACGATTTGATAACCTCAAAGCAGCTGTCCACAAAGCACTCATTGACATAGGAGACAAACGTATGAAAATGATCGATGATTATGAATATGCCGCCATACCTGCGCTCATTCGCTGCCTGAGAATCATGAAACTCGGAGCAGAAGCGCTATGCAGGAGAGAAAGTGGACTATTGGAGGCTGAAGCTGCTCTAAAGTTTATGTTAAGCGCGCTTGACAAGGAGGACTGCGCGATTGCATGTAAACTGTCTGATGCGTTGAAACAGCGCATCCGACAGAGACGGTCACGTGCGGCTAAAGTCCTACAATCGCTCCATAACAAAATGTCGGCAGACAGAGACTGGAAAGATATTTTTCCTAGTGCCTCTCGCAAGGAAGCACAGGACTTAGTTGTCCACATGATGGAAAGATTGGGAGAACAGATGCATGATACCGAAGTAGGTGTAGATACAGAAGTGATGGACGCTGATGATCCTGAATCAGCGCCGTCTCTTCAGTCGATGCTTCAACAAGCTCTAGATGAGGTAAAAGCTCCAGAGCAAGGCACCAGTTCATGCCCGTCTGGGATTAACTTTTCGCAATCTTCTCTGATGATGACGAAGGCCATAAGGAAAGAATTGGAAAATTTACCTATCTCAGGAAGGACAGGCATGGTAGCGCTGTCCTACAACTGGCTGAAGGGCATAGTTCCTACGAGCGTTGAATCGGAACGAGTGTTTTCCACTGTCGGGAATATCGTCACAAAAGTGCGGTCGAGTCTCGGCGACGAAGTCGTTGATGCACTTTGCTTCCTCAAGTGTAGACAAGTGAATGTGACTAGGACATGCTGCTGGTCAGACGACCACAATCCGTAGGCACGTCTACTGTATCCTGACTCGAAATATAAACAAGAAATACAATGATCAATGTCATTCATGCTCTTATATTTGTTCGGGGTGAAGGTGTATGCCTGGTATTGTGTTTATGATGGTAAGGATGCGCCATATACATACGATATTGCAAGAAAATTCTGCTTTGTAGACAGGTTAAAATAAAAACTGCTCAATCCCGGGATCCCGGGATATCCCGGGATTGCATTTCTAAAATCCCGGGATCCCGGGATTGCCAAAAAGTCCCGGGATTATCAGCCCTAAATTTTCGCCCATGGTATAACAAGGAAATGCAACTGGCCAAAGCGCCACTGACCCAATAATGGAACGGTGCGCGACTGAGACCAGCTGTGCTATGCACGTGTTTATGAAGCTGGTAAACATAGCCAGAACAACTGATTTCCTGTACACTCAAAATAATATTTACTAAGTCCCGTATTATCCAATATCTTAGCAAATCTCACGAACCCAAAGCGTGCCAAGTCCACATCAACGCAATCCAAAAGCGTGTTAATGTCCATTTAACACGACTTAGGTTAGTGAGATTTACCAGGATAACGCGGAGCGCGGCGGAAGTTAGTAAATGTATCTAACAGTGTAGTCACCAGTCGGCAAGCACCACAACAAGGATTTGTAATTTTGACAGTACGAGTAAATATAAATATGATAAGCGTCATTTTGTTTAGAGAGAAAGACTGAGAGAGGGAGTGTAATATATGAAACGGTTGAATATAAGTAGGCATGTGCCCTGAAATCTAATATAGACAAATTTTAGGGGACACGTTAGATTCAGCCACGCCGAGGGGTGTCCAAACCCTGTCTATCCCTTACAATTAAATATTGGTCAAAGCAGTCATTAGAAGATGAGTTATCCATAATCATATGTAAATGTCCATGTCTATGGCCGCCACTCTACGTCCCCCCAAAAAAGTCGCACATTTTGTCTGTCATGACTCACTGAACAGTGAGAACACAAAACATTTTGTGCTGCCGTGGCAGTCCCACCCGGGTCACTGCCGGGCGTGCCGCCACTACTAGTTCCGTTCGAGGCTGCGCATGACCCTGGGTGTGGGTCCGCCCCGCGGGGGAGGAGGGGGCAGGGTGTCAGGGGGGGGGGTCAGGGGGTACTCCACCGCCGCCCAGTTACCGCAGTACTGGATGACTGGCACACAACCCGCGCCAATAAAAACCACCGGGAGCTGCCGCTGGACCGATCAGTGAGCTGCGCTGGCCGGGCCGGAGCTGAGCTGCGCTGATCGCCGCTGGAGCTGCGCTGATCGCCGCTGAGCTAATCCGCTCTGGAGCTGAGCCATGGCGCTGTTCGGCCGTCTCTGGGTTCTGCCCGTACTTCTGGCACTGCTGGCCGCGACCAAAGGTGAGGGTATGTACGGCACAACATTATATAGGTTTAATGAGTTTTCAACCTAACGGATCAACTAAATGCGATTTATTGCTGAGTCCTAGTCGTTGATAGGCATTTCAATGTCTGTTCCCTTGTATGATTTTATTGAATTTTGACAACACTACATTTCTATGAAGTTATTTTGATCAATTTTCCGTGTGCATTGGGTTTATTTCAAATCACTTCATTACACTTGGAGAATGCTTTCATGAAGCTATTTTGATCAATTTTCCGGGTGTCTGGTGCTGATTTTAGGCGATGATTCTGGCTCCATGGAGTCAGGCGAGGTCCTAGAGATGCTGGACGATACGCTGGAGACCATGAGGGTAGCCGGCTGCCTTCCTGACGATTACGTCTCACTAGAGCTTCCCTCCTGCGAGCAAGTCAACGGGGGAGTGTACGACAAAATTCTCTGCGTCGCCAAAAGGTGATAGTTGCTGCTTAGTGGCAGGACAATCTGTGCAGCAAATGAACTTGCATTTATTACCATTCATGCTAAAAACATTGTACGCAAGGGAAGCATGTGACTGTGAAAGTAACTTGGTGCTTGGCAGGGCTAAGATTAGCTCGTGTTTGAATTGCGTGGGCTGGAGTAAGGCAACGTGAGTAACAATAGTTTTAATCCATCGCATACATGTAAGGTCAGATTAATGCCATCAGATGATAAACCTAGTCTCAGATAGACAGATAGAGGCTAGAATTGCGAGGCGCCCACTCTATGCCTCTTTTTGTTGGACAAGTTTCCATCATTTGACCAGGCTCTGGAAGCCATTTTTTTTCTGAGTTACGACTTCTTGAACAAAATTCTAGAACAGAATTGCGTCAGAACAGCGGCCAAAAAGAGGACTACCAATAACTAGTAGCTAACTATAACAAATAGCTTATAACAAATAGCAAATAACTAGCGGTTTCATTAGTTTAGGACAGTATCACACACAAACATGCCTGTTCAGCTACAAAACAGGCTGTGAAATCGTGTCAGCTATTCACCATCCTGCATGACCTGTTCTAACATAATATTTTCGCTTCCAGTGCCGGCTTTGCCAATGAGTCTGGGTCATATAATGCTGAGACCGCCACCACCTTCATCGGCTCTTTGAGCTCGGACGAACAGTGGGTGGAGGCGACGAAGGCGACGCTGAACTCCTGCTCTTCGATGATGTCCGATGAGCTGCCCGACAACAGGCAGGGAGTCTTCATGTTCGCTTGTCTGGTGATGTCGCTCAAGTTCCAGTGCAACGCCAAGCGTACGGGAGATGCCATGCAGTCGATTATCGGAACTGAGGGTCAATCCATCGGACAGGCTCTGGCTTATATCGCCGAGGGCTACTGTGTGACTGGCGGCCTTAAGAACCCCGACAGCATCGACGAATGGACGGCGTGCTCCGAGCAGAACTCCCTCGACCTGGAGGTCCTCGCCGAGGCCGGAGAGGCCTACAAGAAGTTCGCGTACACTTCGGAGGAGGTGGACATCGACGCAGATGACATCAACGCGCTTAGCGACCAGCTGGACAACTTCAACGCCACCATCCACTGCACGATGACAGCGATTGGGGATATCACTGCTGACGGCGAGCTCGACTTTGACCGGATGCGCGAGAACCTCAACACCAGCAAGGGCAAGGACTACATCAAGAAGACTGCCGCGGGGGTGCTCGACTTCTGCCAGGGCATGTCACCCGCAACTCCCAACGACTACGTGACATGCTGGTTCGGCAGCCTGCCCCACGCCTGCATCTCGCTGCAGGCGCACGGCCTGGTGCTGGCTCCGGAGAAGAAGCCCAGCTGCCCGGCGGGGGGACGCGGAGGGAGGGGACGCGGAGGAAGGGGACGCGGAGGAAGGACCCAGCGCCGCAGGAACCAGCGCAGGAGGAACCAGCGCCGCAGGAACCAGCGCCGTCGCCAGAGGCCGCAGCAGCCCGCCGAAGAGATTTAGAGGGTTGCCGAACAGAGCTACACCCAACGGCCGATACAAATGATTGCGGAACAGGACCACGCGTTTTAGCTCGCTTGGAGGAGTAGCAAACTCAGGCACCTGCTGTTGTTTGAACCCACAGTCAGACGATACCGAAATTAGATCGCACCCCCTTTATGTATAATCATTGGCATTGTTCATGAAACGCACATGCGGTTATATACAAAATGTTTACAATGGCACCGTTTCTACAAATACACTTTTCAAGATTGAGAGGATTATTTGGTAATTAAACTGAAATAATATGAGACACATTCAGCACTTTTCACCGCCCCAC